GTCGACGCCGACGTGCGCGAGCCTCGCATGCAACCGGTCAGGGGTCGACTTCATCGCCGAGACAATCGTCAGAGCCACCACCTCGGTCGACGGCGAGTGCGTCCAGCAGGGGCGAAGGTCGGTAGAGAGGACTCGTTCGGTGTAGCGTGCTCGACCTAGCACCTCCTCGGTTGCGGCGACGAGCAGCATCTCGTCGCCGTCGCCCTGCAGCTGCACTCCGCTCTCCTTCAGTTGGCCAGCTAACAGGAGGTTCACCTGTACTCCCGGAACGTAGAGCACGTCGGGGATGAGGACCCGCCTCCCGGCCTCCCCTTGCAGAGCGACGGTTCCACAACCCTTGACAGGCTGCAACACCCCTCTGAAGCCGTGCACATGCTTCACACTGTCACTCGGCGCCATGTTGACGAGACCGCCTTCGTCCCCATCAGGTGGTGGGAGCACCCGCTGTCGAGCAGCACCGCCATCGGGTTGGCCTGCATAGCTGCCGCCACCGCTTGGAAGTCCTCGCCAGCCTCCGGCGCCAGCGAGACTGTCGGGTCCACCACGCCGACCGTCGAGCACGACGCCTCCCCGTCGCCTCGGCCCTTGCCGCTGGAGCTGTCGACGTCCTTCGTCGACGACGTCTGCTTCTCCTTGCGCGGCATCTCATCTTGACGGGGGCGATGGCTGGTCGACCGGCCACGGCCTCCCTCGGTGTCGTCCTCGTCGCTGTCGTCGCGGTCGGGGCACTCGTAGGAAAGATGGTCGGGGTCGTGGCAGATCCAGCACTCCCGCCGTCGACCACCACCTCCACGGCCCTTGCCCCGCGTCGACCTCTTCTCGTCGACGTCCTTCGTCGACCGCCCACCTCCGCTACCACCTCCACTCGGCTTCCTGCGCTGCTCCTGCTGATAATTCGGCTTCGTCGGTGCAGCGTAATTTGCCTGTAGAAGGAGCTCCGTGGGCTGCTCTGCCTCCAGCATTGCCTCATCTTGGAGAATGTAGCTGGTGAGGGAGTCCTCGTCGAATGACTCCTGTGTGTCGGGCACTATCGTCATCATCTTCATGCGGTTGTAGCTGCGCGGCAGGCCCTTAAGAACATGGGTGATGTGAGACGCCGTCGAGTATTCAACGCCCGCCATCCGCATCTCTGCCAGGATCCGTCGACCACGGTTGCAGTAGTTCGTCGCCGACTCCTCCTCGCCCATACGAATATGTGTCATCTTCTCCTCCAGCTGTCCGATATACAGGTCATCCTTCACCTGGTACGTCGACAGGATGAAGTACCATGCCTCATGACCAGCATTCAGTCGCTCTCGACAGCTCCTGAGCGCTAGCTGCACCACCGGCGAGCAGCACCTCGAGATGACCATGAAGGTGAGCAAGTGAGCAGCACGAAACTCCCCGCGCAGCTGGACATCCTCCACGGGCGGAATCGGCACGGTGCCGTCAGCGAAGCCCTTCAGCCCCGCAACCTCCAGCTGAGGTTCTATCGACTCCCTCCAGGTGATGAGGTCCCTTCGACCTTGCAGCGGTGCAACGGTGATCCGGTCCGGTGAAAACTTGAAGTAGCCATACACCGGTGCAATCCAGCCCGCCGTCACGTGCGTCGTTGCCAAGAGCCCTCCACCGCTTCGTAGAGGAGATCGACGTCGACCAACGACGTCGGCACGCAAGCTGCTTGCAGCAGCCGTCGACCGCTGCACTCGCGCCTGAATCCTGACGACGCCACTGTCAACCTTGATCACCCCTCTCTGCTTCGTGCCTTCGCTGCCGCTGACTCGTGCACCGCCGTCGACCTCGTCGTCGACGCCACCTTCGTTTCGCACCGGTCGAGGAGATGTAGGACATGAAGGGTGTTCCGTCGCCCACTGCGACCGGATGCCCAACTCTGCGTGGCGTTTCCTCGCATCAGCCAAGTGTGTCTCCAAGGTGTCCGCTACTCCCGCATCAGCTACGGGGTCGACCATGGTGACTGACGTTGCTGCCGGCCTACGAACAACTTAGTAGGTGCAAAAGTCGGCTCCTATCTGAAGGTAATCTGCGGGGCCGTCCACACTCACCGCACCATGCAGAGAGTCACTCGACAAAGGTAGTGAGCTAGACTACGGGGGTTGGCACGAACTACTAGGAGTGATCGTAGCTTTGCTTAGTTTCTTAGCGCTTGCCCATTCACGAGAGAAATCGGCAATAGTTACCACTAGCAAAGTCGAAATTACATCATGATTGAGCAAGCAATGACAACAATGACAACATCAGGCACCTAGCAACTTTGCAGCTAGCCGGGTCGACCACCAGCACAGCTTGGTCGACCGCCTGCCTGCGTTGCGTAGAGGAGCCATGCCAGCACTGCAGAAGGGCGACCTTCCAACAGAGCAGGTCGACGTCGTGCCAACGCTGCAGCAGAGCGGGTGTCCAGCGTCGCCCCGTAGAAGACAGCAGTGCGCACGCTCGCAGGTGCACGCAGACGATTGGCCCGACTTGCACCGTTGTGCCTTCGACCGCTGCTCACTTTTTAGGTCGACCGACTGCTCCGTCGACCTCCCGGTCGAACTGCTCCTCCTGGTCGACGGCCCACCTGTCGCCCGGCCCAGCCAGCTGCAGCGGACGGCTCCAGCCCCGTGACAGTTCCGTGCAGGTCGACAGCCACCTCGTCGACCTGCCCCGCAGAAGAAGGCCGTCGAGCACTCCTGGTCAACGGCAACACCACAGAGGTCCCCTGCAGCTTGACGAAGCCCGTCAAGCAGCTCTCTCACTGTGAACGGTCGGCTGCTTCTCCCGTACACCCGACCGAGTCGTCGGCGTTGCCCAACCGAGGGCGGGGCCAACAACCAACTCCCGTTAACATCGACGACACCGTCGAGCGCAAGACGGCGAGGCTGGTCGTGAAAGGGCTTCACGCAGGTGTACAGCACCGACTACGACGAGACGTACTCGCCGGTGAGCAGCTACGTCACGCTGAGGATCGTCCTCAGCATCGTCGCCGTCCTCGACCTCAACCTGATGCAGCTCGACATGAAGAATGCTTTCCTACAGAGTAAGCTCGACCGGGTGCTGTACATGTAGAAGCCAGACTACTTCGACAAGGAGACCGGCCGGTGTGCAATCTGCTGAAGAGCCTCTACGGGCTGAAGCAGTCACCGCTGCTGTGGTATAGGGCTCTTGACGGCGTGCTGCTAGGCGCGGGCTGGAAGAAGAGCCAGGTCGACACGGCCCTCTACTTCAAGGTCGGCGATGGCGGAGTGACCTGCTGGGTGCTGGTCTACGTCGACGACCTGCTCGCCGCCAGCAGCAGCACTACGATGCTAAAGGAGCTGAAAGAACTGCTGGAGGCCGCCTTCAAGCTGCGCGAGATCTCGCTGGTGGTGAAGTACCTTGGGCTGGAGATCGTGCGTGACAGGTCGGCGAGGAAGCTGAGGCTGCACCAGCAGAATCACGCCGACAAGTTGCGTAGGCGCTTCATCGACGAGGAGCAAAGCGGGAGCATCCTGAAGACGCCGGTCTTGGTCGACGCCTACGCCGAGCTGACATTCGACGACGAGGAGGCCAGACATCGCCTTCGCCTGCAGCAAGCTGGGGAGCGGCCTCACGGTGAGGAGCGACCAGCATTGGCGCGAGGTCGACCGCTGCCTCGCCTATCTCGCTGACACCCGCGACACCGCCCTGGATTTTGGCGGTGGACCAGAGTCGCTGGAGCTGATCGGCTATGTGGACGCCGACGACGCGGGCGACAAGCAGAAGCGGACGAGCACAAGCGGCTACGTGTTTGTCTTCAGAGGGGCCACAGTATCCTAGTCGAGCCAGCGCATCAAGTGCGTGACGCTCTCCTCGACTGAATCAGAGTACGTCGCGGCCACGAACGCCGGCAAGGAAGGTCGTCGACTTCGCTTCCTCCTTGCAGAATTCAAGCTGCTCGACGCTAGGAAGCCGACCATCCTCCGTGTGGACAACAAATCGGCAATCACGGTCACCGAGGGCTTGGGGCTGATGGGCAACCTCAAGCACATGGAGCGTCGCTACGCCTGGCTGCAGCACATGGTGAGGCACGGGAATTTCGTGCTGAAGTACATCCTGAACACCGAGCAGCCAGCTGACTTCCTGACGAAGGCGCTCCATTTTCCGGCTTTCAACCAGTGCTCTGTCGCCATCGGCCAAGTTCGTCTGGCTGACGTCGGCGACGGCGACGATGATCTGCAGCAGTTGGTGCCGTGCCTTTCTGCACGGATGGTGCGGTGACGGCGTGCTGTGTATGGGGTGCACGTCGAGGACGACTTTTCTCCGTAGAGTACTGCCGTGTGGGCTAGGGGTCCAAGCGTGAGCGCGGCAGAGGAGTGTTAACGGGAATGGAGTGTTGGCCCCACCCTCCCTTGGGCAAGGCCGATGACTTGGTCGGATGTACGGGAGGAGCAGCCGACCATTCGCAGTGACGGAGCTGCTCGACGGGCTTCGTCAAACTGCAGGTTATCAGTGTGGTGTTGTCGTCGACCAGGAGTGCTCGACGGCCTTCTTCTGCAAGGCAGGCTGACGAGGTGGCTGTCGACCTGCACAGGACTGTCACGGGGCTGGAGCTGACTGGGCTGGGCAATGAGTGGGCCGTCGACCAGGGAGCTCGACAGCTGCAGCTGACTGGGTTGGGCGACGAGTGGGCCGTCGACCAAGAGGAGCAGTGTCACCGCTTATGCACGTGATGCATAAGCAATAACAGGAATACAAGGGGTGAAGGAATAGTAATAGATGATAACCTTACAATTGCATTTCAAGTAGATTAATGAGTAGTGTAGAGTGTAGCGAGGTTACTGTTGGAATAGGCTTAGAAGGGGGGAACGGAATGTGAACGGTGGGGAAGTCTCGGGGGGGAAAGCCTCGAAGTGCGAAATGTGGGACGAAGGGCGAAATGTCCCAACCCCGAGCCATGCATTGAGGAATGTGCAGCACAGGGTTGGGCAGGGTAAGGCCGAGCACGCACAGAGCACTCGTTGCTTGTTTCCTGGTATTCTCTCAGAATAGTGGAAGATATTGCTCTAAGCTTAGCACACAGTGGTACGCCACCAAGAGGGAACCAGTGGGGTGAGGGAGAGATCCCGTTCATACCAAGAAACAAGCAACGAGCGCGTAGCATGGACAAGTATGAGTTACGATGGGGCCGGGTCTTCACTCGACGCTAAGAGGAAGGGCCGCAACCCGAACGCTCGCGGGAGCGTGGGCGTTCCTTAGAGCGGTCGCCCCGAAGGCTGGCCTTCCGAGCTGATAGAGTTCCCGTCGTGCCAGCCAGCCGAGAAAGAGAGGCGGTGCAAGGCGTGCGTGGCGGTGGCAGACTCGGCGCGATGATGAGCGACGTGCCGTGGCGGAGGAACACGTTCCACCTTCGCGGTGACGAGCATCGCCACCCGCGCGACGAAGGGGTGTTCCACTCCCCAGAAGGGGGGGGTCGGCGGCGGGATGAGCGAGGTCGCTGGCGTAGGAGGGAGGGATTCCCGCGGGAGCAAGGAGTGGGCTCTGGTGTGCACTGGGCCGGACAGGATCCGCGGGCCGAACTGACGTGGGAGGAGAGTGACCACGAGGAGGCTGAGCGGGAGCTTGGCGACGGGCCGGCGTACGACGACGGGCAGTGGCACCGCGGCGAGCAGGCGCACGGCGAGGAGCCAGAGCGCAGTGACGAGCCGGAATACGGCGACGAGCAGGATAGCGACGGCAAGCAGGAGCATGGCAGGGAGCAAGAGCGCGATGAAGGGCAGGAGGACGGCGGCGAGCGGGCGCACGGCGGGGAACAGGAGCACCATCACCCGCGGCGGGATGGCGGCGAGTAGACATGCGCGGGACCCCAGGTCCCAGGCGGAGCCGAGGAAGGAGAGGCGCAGGAGGGGGAGTCGCGTGCGACGGGCCCCAACCATCGGGGAGGACAGCCTGCCCGCGATGCACCTTAGCCGGAAGGCCAGGCTCGAGAGGGAGGGACACGCACGATGCCGACGCGGGGAATGCGCGGACAAAGCGAGGCAGAGGACAGGCATGCAACGGGAGTCCAGCGTTGGCGGGCGGAGGCGAGCGACGGCGGCTCGCGCTCGTCAAGGGAACCGCCGCCAAGGGCCAAACGGTATGGGGGCGCGGAAGGAAGACGGGGAGGAGCGGAGGAGAGCACGGTTCGCTCTGGGGCGCCACCGCGGGCGCTGGGAGGAGGCCATGGGGGGGAGCATCACTCGCCAGAAACGCGGCGGCGTAGGGAGGGGCGGCGGATGGAGGGGTCACGTTCACCGCACATGCGGCAACAGTGGGGGGGGGCAGAGGAGAATCGCGGTCGCCCGACCGGCGTCGTTGGCGAGAGGAAGGGCGGGAGGAAGCAGGACGCGCGCCACCAGGCACACGGCTGCAGGAGAGAAGGGAGTGGTCGCCACCCCCAGCGAGACATCAGCCGCGTGAAGTCGGCCCGAGGGTATGGGAGCAAAGTCATTACTCACCGGAACGACGATGGGAGCAGACGGGAAGGGGATGTAGTCAGTGGGGACAGTCGGGAGAGGTGCGCGGAGGGAAGCAGAAGAGCAGGGCCAGGAGCGGCAGCTTGGCCCAAGGGGCTGAGCGAGCCCGTATGGCCAGAGAGGGACTGGAACGAGCAGGGCAAGGAGGGGGGTATGGGAGACCGCGGGGAGGGGCAATTGAGTCTTGGGGAGAGGGAAGAGGAGGTGGGGCCACGGCGACAAGGGTGGAGGTGCCAGCCAGATTCTCGGGAGATCAGAGGGCGGGGCCATCACTCAAGAACTTCCTGATGCAGGTGGGGAATGTGAAGTATCGGTGCGACCGGAACGGCATGGACCCCATTGATTTCTTCCTAAGCCTGCCCAGCACCTTGGATGGGGAAGCGGAGACTCTGTACCGTATGAGGATGGAGGAGCTGCTGTGGAGGGCAGGGAGGTATGGAGAGGACCCCATTGAAGCATTTTTTGAGCGGTTGCAACGGCAGTTCCCAGGGCACACGGCGGAGCGCATAAGGGAGTTTCAGGAATTCAAGCGAGGAAGGACAGAGTCACAGAGTTACAATCGGCTGACCAATGTGGCCGAAGATGTGAGATGCACGGACAGCAGTCTCTTGATAAGAAAGTTCCTAGGTGGCCTGGATGAGGCACTGGGAGGCTGGCTGCGTATGAAGGTGTATGAGCTGGGCGCGGAGGCGAGCCTGGATGAGGTGTTCGAGCTGGCCGACAGGGTGGAGCTCGCACAAAGGAAATATGAGGCGTATCTACCGCGGCAGATGGAGAGAGCCCGCCGGCCGACCTGGGCGGCAGCCATGATACCAGAGGATAGAGGGAAGGCAGAGCTGTATGAGTGGCTGTACATGCCATTCCGGCTGAGGAACGCATCGGCAGTGTTTCAGCGGGTTATGGATGCAGTACTGAGGGAGGTGGAGTGTGCGGCGTGCTACATAGACGACGTAGTGATCTTCAGTGCCACCGAGCAGCAGCATCTGCAGGATGTGGAGAGGACACTGGCGGCAATAGAAGCAGCGGGACTCACATGTCACCCCAAGAAGTGCAGGTGGGGTGAGGAGACAGTGCAGTACCTGGGATACGAGGTGAAGGGAGGACAGATTGGGATCTAGCAGGCTAAGGTAGAGGTCTTGTACAGGCTGCGGGAGCCAAAGGACAAGTCGGGGCTGAGGGCGGTGTTGGGCTTCCTTAGCTACTACAGGAGGTTTGTGCCCAACTTCAGCAAACGTGCAACAGCCTTGAACGGGCTGCTAAGGGAGGACAGGGCATGGGAATGGGGAGAGGCTCAGAAGGGAGCCCTGCAGGACCTTATGACAGCAGTGAAGATGGCAACCGTGTTACGGCTGCCAATAGCAGACCAGCCATTCACCCTCTACACCGACTGGAGCAGCCAGGGAATGGGAGGGATACTCTGCCAAGAGGTGCAGGGGGAGGAGAAGGTAGTGGCCTACGCGAGCAGGAGCTGCAACTTGGCGGAGGCGCAGTACAGCTTGTACATAGGGGAGGGGCTAGCCGCGGTATGGGCGGTGGGGCATTTCAGAGTGTACCTGCAAGGACGGGAATTCACGTTGGTGACGGATCACCAGCCACTGACCTGGCTGATGACTACGCCGGGACTGACAGGCAGGAACGCAAGATGGGCGATGAAGTTGCAGGAATACGACTTCAAGATTAAGCACAGGCCGGGGAAGACGCTACAGCATGTGGATGGCCTCTCCCGCAACCCCCCACAGCTGGAACCGAGCGTAACCTTAACACTGCTGGCCAGACAGGTAGAAGTAGGGGGGGGCAAAGGGGGCAAGGGGCCGGCAGATATTTGGGAAGACGAGCAGGCCATGCGGTGGGTGAAGGGAGAGACGGAGGAAGATGAGGAAATGTTGGAGAGAGTGAGGGCTAGGGGGCACCACTATAGATGGTATCAGCAGCAGTTGCAGATCCAAACCGAGGATGGATGGAAGCTGGTGCCAGCACCAAGGGACAGGGAAGTTGTGATCAAAGAGGTGCACACGAAACTGGGGCACTTCGGACATGAGAGGACAGTGCAGCTGCTGAAGACAGGATGGTGGTGGGAGGGGATGCGGAGGCAAGTGAAGGGCTGGGTGGAGGGCAGTGAGGCATGTCAGAGGAGCAGGGCAAACCTCAGCCAGGCTAGAGCCGAGCTGCAGTCCCTGCCCATCCGAGGCCTAGGCTTCAGGTGGTCCTTGGATCTGGCCGGGGAACTGCCCCTGAGCAGGGGGGGTAAGCGCTACATCGTGCTCATGGTGGAACACGTGAGCAAGTGGCTGGAGGTGAGGGCCATCTCCAGCAAGAGCTCCAGGCAGGTGGCAGCGGCGTTCAAGGAGCAGGTGATCTGCCGATTTGGAGCATGTGCAGAAGTCCTCACAGACCAGGGGACTGAATTCCAGGGGGAGTTCAAGACGCTACTAGAAGAGACGGGTATCACTCACAGGCGCACCTCCCGCTACCACCCACAGAGCGATGGGCTGACAGAGCGGCTGGTCCAGACCTTGAAGCGGGGACTGAGGGCATACGGGGAGAAGAGGAAGCGGGATTGGGATGAGGAGCTGCACTGGATTGCAGCAGGATACAGGTTTGGGAAACAGGCGGCCCTGAAGGATCACTCCCCATACAGGCTCCTCTATGGATGTGAGCCGGTGCTGCCAGTGGGAGCAACCCGGGTCCTTACAGACACAGTGATAGCAGGCACAATAGATAAATGGGTGGCGCTGTCAGAAGCCAGAGCAAGATACATGCGGGTGATGATGCCGGCTGCGTTGGAGAACCTACATACCGCACAGCTGAGGGATGCCAGGCACTATGAACAGCGGCAGCAGCAAGGGGCGGGCAGGAGAGTACAGAAGGGTGCGGGTCTGGGGCAGGAAGTGTACCTAAGGAAGGCAAAACAGGATACCTTGGACGTCGGGGTGGGCACAGAAAGGTGGCGGGTGAGGGAAGTACGCCCCTCGGGAGTACTAGTGTTGGAAAACGAGAAGGGGGCTCAACTGAAGGAACATCAGACCAACACGGCTCTGGTAAGGGGCAGCAAGCTTCAGCAGGGTGGTCCTGTGACACGAGCTCAAGCTGCTCGAGCACGAGCACAGGAGGGGGCAGGGAGTGACTGAGGCAGATCCACACAAAGAAGGAAGCGGGAGGGAGACATAGGGAGAGAAGAGGAGGTGTGGCAAGGAGCAAGGCCCCATGGGCAGAGGCGGTCAGCTGGAGGGCAAGGGAGGAAGGAGCATTGATCTCCGACAGCAGTTCGACCGGGAGGTCGACGGAGCAGTCCGTCGACCTGACGTGTGAGCAGCGATCAACAAGGGGAGCTCGGCGACAACGGCTCGGAGGGGCCCGTCGACCAGGGTAGCTCGACGGGAGCTGTGGTCGACCAGAGGCACCTGGTGGTCGACAAGAGGCACTGGTGGTTGACCAGATCACTTGGTGGTTGACCAAGTCGACCGGGTAACCTGTTCGGCGAGTTCTGCGGAGGCACACGAACATCGCCGAGGTCGCGGTGACGAAGGCGACTTCGGGCTGGTATCCCGAAGTTGATGTGGCTCGTCAGGCGCAGACAACAGCCGGCGGATGCACAATGAGGCAAGTTGGGCCAATCGTCTGCGCGCACCTGCGAGCGTGCGCACTGCTGTCTTCTACGGGGCAACGCAGGACAGCCGCTCTGCTGCAGCGTTGGCACGCCGTCGACCTGCTGTGTTGGCACGTTGCCTTTCTGCAGTGCTGGCGCAGCTCCTCTATGTGACGCTGGCAGGCGGTCGACCATGCAGTGCTGGCGGTCGACCAGGCTAGCTGCAGAGTTGCAAGGTGCCTGATGTAGTTAATTCTGTCATTTCCTTGTTCAATTAGTCTGGAATTCCAACTTTGCCTAGTAAAACTGTTGTCGATTTCTCCCGTGAATGTGCAAGCACTAAGGAATTAAGCAAAGCTACGATCACTCCTAGTAGTTCGTGCCAACCCCCGTAGTCTAGCTCACTACCATTGTAGAGTGTCTCTCCGCAGCTTTGTCACTTGTTTGCTGTGCTGTTGTACTTGCATATATATATTCTTGTTACCTCTTAAAACTGGTCTTGTGGCCCCTTGTTTGTGCTCGGACTACGTGGTGATTTTGAGATCCACCCTAAGATTTGTTTTGTTTCTTGTCTTGACTGGTCTTGTGACCATTTGCTATCACTTGTTTGTTTCCTTGGTGCCCCTTGTTGATATATGAGAATGAATGACTAGAATGAGCAAGTACAAGGGTAGATATAGCAAACCTAACCCGAGCACTAACCAATGTGTACACGACCTAGACTAAACAATACAAACTATAACAATTATAGTTTGACACACCCCCATAGTCTAGTTGACGGTAGTCCTATGGAGAGCAACACACAACCCAAGAGCAAGGGTCACAGGACCAGTCAGCAAGAACAAGCAATGGTCACAAGACCAGTTCACAAGAACAAGGCAACTCTCGGGGTGGAGCTCAAGGTTACCACACAGTCCGAGAACAAGCAAGAGGCCACAAGGCCAGTCCACATGCAAGGATATAGCAGATATAAAAGATGCAAGAGTACACGACATGCATGACAAGCATCTCTACAGAAGCAAAGGGCCACAAGGCCTGTCCACAAGCACATATATAGGATATACTGTAAGATGCAAGAGGACAAGACAAAGCATCTCTACGCAAGCAAGTGAGGGCCGGTAGGCACAAGGCCTAGCTGGGTGCAGAAACGCTGGTGGTCACAAGGCGGCAACGCCTTGGTGAAGATATCTGCCGTGTTGGCCTGAGAGACCACACGTCGCACGAGTGCCTGGCCACGCTGCTGCAACTCTCGCAGGAGGAAGTAACGAAGCTGGATGTGCTTCGCCTTCCCAACCAGTCGGGGCTCCTCGCACAACAGGAGAGCAGACCTGTTGTCAGCGAACAAGACTGGGGGAGAGCGAGGCCGCTCACCAAGGTCGGTGAGAAGGAAAGACAGCCATGGCCATGGCCGCAACGTACACCTCTGCCTCACAGCTGGAACTAGAGACGCACAACGCCCGAGTCGACCTCCACGAAATAGCTCCGGTCCCAAGGCTGAAGCAGTAACCCTGTGTAGACCGCAGTGACTCTGCGTCGTCGGCCCACGATGAGTCCGAGAAACCTGTAAGTGTAACTGGCTGCTTCTCTCCAAGGACAAGTCCCATGCCTGATGTACTCGCCACATACTTCGCTACCCTCTTAGCAGCATACCAGTGGGAAGGTCAGTGTCTCCCAGGCGCAACAAAGCGCTCAAGAACGCTAAGAGGGTAAGGTCTGGGCAAGTACAGGTCATCAGATACATGAGA